TTAGCCCAAGACCAGGCAGTGTTTCGTTCTGTTGTGCATAAGGTCAGTATGAGTCAGTACCAACTCAATGGCACCTGACAACAACAACATTAAGAATGTATTGTTCTGCTTCTGGCTTACTGAGTACTTTTTTCTTACTCTGTCTGAAAGGTTGTTTACCTTTCTTAAGTGCGGTTTTGGCATAACATTGATTTGGTAATACGATTTTTCTTCTTTGGCTTATTGACGTAGGAATTTTATTTTTATATTTCCTAACATGTAACCATCCTTAAATTCATAAAGCAAGCTCACTTGGCCATAAAATACACTTAGTAGAATTAGTTATATTTGCTTGTATTTTCTTTTGTGCTTTAAAATCTGTTTTCTTAAGAGAAGTTGACAGTTTTTTTCTTTATACTGTTTGTCATCTTCTGATAGCAAAGTTAGAACATAAGAACTGAGATGCTTCACATATTTTCACATGCATCTAGAACAATGTGAACAGCCTGAAGATCAGTTATGCCTTGGCACTTCTGTTTCTTTGTATTCAGTTCTGCCAATTTATATGATCCTAAAAATAGGTTCATTGTGTATAGATTTCAAATGGAGTTCATGTCTAGGATAAATAAGGGTATAGTATTCCTCTCTGATTAAAATGTTTTAACGTAAATTCTGATGTGGTTAAACAAACAAATCCAAATTTTGATATGACCTAGCCATACTTACTGATTAATCCTTTTCCTGCCAAGAATCTTAGTTTTAATTGCACAGCATCTTGTCTTGTGATTTTAAAAAAATTGCTGTGATTATATGCTGTTTTTCTGCATTAATTTTTTTTCTTGCTTTCTTTGGGTTAATTTGTTGTTTTCTAACTTTTTTTTTTTTTTTTATGGTTTTTATTGTGGATTGAGTGAAAGTTTTCAGGGCACATCATCGGTTTCACATTCAAATATTCATATACCTTGTTTCATTACATTGATTATAATCCCCTCCACATACCATCAGTTAACAGAGTTTCTGTATATCCTCTTTAGCTTTTTTGGGGGGTAAAAACTTTGCCTTTTTGGAATTTACAGTCTCGGCTTTTAGGGAAGGTTTTTACATTTATCTGTGGGTATCCAGGACTCATGTATGGAATTACTAACTAGCATAACTGAATAATCAGATAAAAGGGACATTTTGCTATGTCTGCTAGGTGGCTAAAGTCTGATCCTCAGAACCTATGGTTTGGACGGTCAGCAACGCTTGAGCCCACAGGGACTTGAACTCCTGACTGTTGTTTTCTAACTTCTTGAATGGTTTCATTTATTTTTATTCTTTAAGTTGAAGGCTTAAGTAAACAAGTCTTGATGCAATTTTGATGTGAGCTTTTCCATTGTCTGAATAGCTTTGTTTTGATTTGATTTTTTTTTTTGATTCCCTAATTATTCAGGATTTAGTTATATTTTTTTATTGGTGGAGTTTTTAAAACATAAAATATAATTCTAAGATCTAATTTTGTTATATTTTGGTCAAAAATGTATCCTACACTATGTAGATATGAATAGATTCTTGTGATTTAGTGCTACTGATTCTAGGCAAGAAGAAGAAAAGTAGCCTAGCTGTGTCAGAGCTGGGAGTAGTAGTGGAGGATAGTGCATTTTGCACCGTGGGTTAATGCGCTAGACTGCAAAGTTGGTTTGAACTGCAAAGTTGGCAGTTCAAGCTCACTAGTCGCTTCTCGGAAGCCCTATACAGGGTCACTATGAGTTGGAACCGACTCGATGGCACTTAACAACAACATTACGTATTTTACTACCTATAAATAACTCTTCATTGGAAGGGACAAATTGCCAACCCAAAGAGCATAAAAAGATATACAAAATCAAAGGGTAAAGATGAAAATTGAAACAATAATACTAAAAAGAGTTGAGCATAATTTATTATATCCAGTGTGCTGTATCCTTAAAATATACCAATTAGAAATACAAAACTAAGGCAACACCTTTTTTAGATGTGTTTACTAATTATTTTTACAAGTACTTCAAATCCTCAAAAGTAGGTGAAACAGGTAATTTTTTCTTTCTTAAAAGATACCAAATTCTCAGTCAGGGCTAAAACGGCTCTACTAGTTTAAAATGTTTTCATTTTGATTCAGATGAATTTTGGAAAAATATAACACCAGGCTAATTGGTCATTTGGCGATTTGACTTGAGGTGAATTAACCGAGACATGGAAGACCAGTAATAATAAGCAAGCGGAAGAATGTTCAGGCTACCCTTAAGAGGTATAATAGATGCAATGGGGGTGGTATGACTTTGCAAGCTTGTATTTATGCCACTTGTATTAGTGAGGTGTTAATGGTGAATTGTGAAAATTCTCTCTTTCTGCAGATTATACTTCATGTCAGTAGAAATGGACAGCAGCAGTTTTATTCAGTTTGACGTGCCCGAGTACAGCAGCACTGTTCTGAGCCAGCTAAACGAACTCCGCCTGCAAGGAAAACTATGTGACATCATTGTCCACATTCAGGGTCAGCCTTTCCGAGCCCACAAAGCAGTCCTTGCTGCCAGCTCCCCATATTTCCGGGACCATTCAGCATTAAGTACCATGAGTGGCTTGTCAATATCAGTGATTAAAAATCCCAATGTGTTTGAACAGTTGCTTTCATTTTGTTACACTGGAAGAATGTCCTTGCAGCTGAAGGATGTTGTCAGTTTTCTGACTGCAGCTAGCTTTCTTCAGATGCAGTGTGTCATTGACAAGTGCACACAGATCCTAGAGAGCATCCATTCAAAAATCAGTGTTGGCGATGTTGACTCTGTTACTGTCGGTGCTGAGGAGAATCCAGAGAGTCGTAATGGCGTTAAAGACAGCAGCTTCTTTGCCAACCCTGTTGAGATCTCCCCTCCATATTGCTCTCAGGTGCGGCAGCCCACCACAAGCAGTGATCTTCGGATGGAGACAACCCCCAGCAAAGCTTTGCGCAGCCGCTTACAGGAAGAAGGGCACTCAGACCGAGGGAGCAGTGGGAGCGTTTCTGAGTACGAGATTCAGATAGAGGGGGACCATGACCAAGGTGATTTATTGGTGAGGGAGAGCCAGATCACTGAGGTGAAAGTGAAGATGGAAAAGTCCGACCGGCCCAGTTGTTCGGACAGCTCCTCCCTGGGTGATGATGGGTACCACACCGAGATGGTTGATGGGGAACAAGTTGTGGCAGTGAATGTGGGCTCCTATGGCTCTGTGCTACAGCATGCATATTCCTACTCTCAAGCAGCCTCACAGCCAACCAGCATATCAGAAGCTTTTGGAAATTTGAGTAATTCCAGCCCATCCAGGTCCATGCTGAGTTGTTTCCGAGGAGGGCGTGCCCGCCAGAAGCGGGCTTTGTCTGTCCATCTGCACAGTGATCTTCAGGGTTTGGTGCAGGGGTCTGATAGCGAAGCTATGGTGAATAACCCCGGGTATGAGAGCAGTACCCGGGAGAGGAGTGCAAGAGGTCACTGGTACCCATACAATGAGAGGTTGATCTGTATTTACTGTGGAAAATCCTTCAACCAGAAAGGAAGCCTTGACAGACACATGCGACTACACATGGGTATCACCCCCTTTGTGTGCAAGTTCTGTGGGAAGAAGTATACACGGAAGGACCAGCTGGAATATCACATCCGGGGCCATACTGATGATAAACCATTCCGCTGTGAGATTTGTGGGAAGTGCTTTCCATTCCAAGGTACCCTCAACCAACACCTGAGGAAAAACCACCCAGGCGTAGCTGAAGTCAGGAGTCGCATTGAGTCCCCTGAGGGAGCAGATATGTATGTGGAACAGAAACTACAAAATGATGCATCGGCTTCGGAGATGGCCCTAGATTCCCAAATGGAAATACACACAGTTTCTGATGCTCCTGATTAAGATGGTAAAGAAGTGCACCCAAACAAAGCACATTAATCAATGCATAATTGTGATTTGCTTCGTTGTAATCTTTGGTTTTCCCAACCATCTGGAAATCTCTTGGTCTCTTGGCAGTTTTGCTAAGGTTTCTAAATGGAGCACTTCATTGTGTTTATCCTTTCCCCCAACTTCTCTCCCCCAAGGAGCTCAAAGCATGAAGGGCAGCATATCCAGGGAAAACATAGGCTGACAATATTCCTCTCTGGCTGAATTCTTTAATCCAAAATTTGCTAGTGCTTTAGCTATGCCAAGTGGTTGACCCTACATTGTCTGCCAAGAGGCATACTCTCTCATTGTGTGTGCTGACACTAGTGCATTTCCGAGAGAGACTAGTTTGCCGTCAGCCGATACAAATAGGTAACCTTTTCTAATTTAAAATTACTTTAAGGGGTAGTTAGACAATTTATATATATATATAATAA